GTCCTCCTCGGCCCGGCCCCCGGCCCTCGCCGTCCCTCCGCGCTGATTCTCTCTTTCTCTCTCTCTCTCTTTTTAAAGTGTGACTGAAACAAAACAAAGCCAAAGGGACGCTGGATCTATCATTGGTTGATTTTTCTCCTTTTTTTTTTATGATCAAAAACAACCCCCCACCCGAGCAAACAAACACACACAAAAGCAGAAAGAAAGGGTCTTGCTCAGCAGCAGCATGGATGTCTTGGCTAGTTATAGTATATTCCAGGAACTCCAGCTTGTCCACGACACCGGCTACTTCTCAGCTTTGCCATCCTTGGAGGAAAACTGGCAGCAGGTGAATCATTTAAATTACTCCTGTAAATCTCTTAAGCGCAGACAGTCGATGCATTGGGGCTGCATTTCTGACTGTATTTTATTTTTGTTCTTTAATTCGGGGTTGGGTTTTTTGGTGGTTCTTCTTTTTCCGCGTGGGTAGACCTTTAAATCTCTGTATTTTTTGCCATGACAAACTGTGCAGTCCATTCAAATCTGTCTGCCTTCAGTCCTTTCTGAGCACGCCCGGCAGCACCTGAGATCCGGTGGCATTCTTTAGGCTTTTGTTTTTATGATGATGACTATTTTTATTTTATTTTTGAGCTTAGATTTTTTTTTTGTTGTTGTTCTTTTAAGCAAGGCTGATCACTTCCAGCCAGTGCTGACAACTGGCAGCTGGTGGAAACGGAATAGATCATTCTTATTTTCAGGTAATTAGTATATGTCAATAAAAATTGTAGCTTAAATCAGAGATTGGGAGTGGGCAGGTGTGTAGATGCACTAGCAAAAGCTTTTAGGCTAAATTCTATAACTAGGGAGGTGACTTATTTTTCATTCTTTTCTTTTTTTTTAGAAGGTGGGGAGAAACACACATTTCTTGCTGTATCTTAAAACAATGACGCCTTAGGCTGGTTCCAGTAAACCAGTGTGTTTTGAGGCACCGTAGGGTTAATATGCAGACAGAATTAGGATACTTTAAAGGTGGAAATCAAGTATTACGAGTGCATTAAAACGATGACTGGTGGCTTAAATAAATAAGACCAAGGAGAAGAGTAGGTTACAGAGGAAAGAGTTGTATAGAATGAACTATGAGCCCAAATGCATAGATCTATAAATAGTTATCAGCTGAGATACTGAGGGAAAAGGAAAGACAGGATTCCTTGTTACGGCAGGACATTGTGAGACAGTCCTGTTTCTTGATGTGGTTTTCTGGCAGAGATGATATGCCAGGTGAAATTCTGGAAACCAGTGTCTCTTTAAAAGAAAAAAAAAATCCACTGGTGGGTAGGAATAGTGGAGTGTGGCTGGGATGACATGTGGTGCTAATGCAGCGCACGGACCAGTGGCACTATTGGTATAAGAATAACGAGCCGCTGGTTTTCATCTTGCCAGCATTCACCTTAGCGTAAGGGTAGCGTGTGTTAGGTCTCCAGAAAGTAACAGTTTGGGATGTTCATTTAATTTTTCCTTAGAAGTGTGTGTGGGGAGAAATGTGGACGGTAGGGCTTCAGGGGAGCACTCAGGCTGTAGCATTGTCATCCAGCTGGACCAGGGCTGGATCTTTAAAGGTTTACCCTAGTAAAATTGTTTTGGCTTCAGCTTTGTGTGTGTATGTGCACACACACGAGATGTTTAATGACAGCTACAGTGTGAACACATTCAGGATTTAATTTGCAAAATGACCGATCCAACTTTGCTTTATCCTCCGAGGGGGAGGGGATGCTTTTTGTTATTAATATTCAGCTCGCACATCTGTGATGGTCACATCTGCTTTCCTTTTGTATTTTTAACATGCTAATTAAACTGAAGAGGTTAATATAATTTCATTAAAAAAATTAATTTCATGGCATCGTTGTTGGATCGGTTGCATATTCAGTTGCATATTAGTAACAGTCCAGACAGTCCAAAGCGAGATAATCTGTTGACATAGCCAGCATGCTTTAGGCAGTACTGTGTGTGATACTCTGTCTCCTGCTGCCGCCTTTTATGCATGGAAGAGCAGCAGTTTGTTTTATACGGTACAATGTACCTACCCAAGCCCACTGTTACTATTGCGAAATTTAAACTCTCACTCTCCTGGTTAAACCCCACTGATTCTCCACATAGGTTTGAAAAGAGAAGTTGAAAATAATTTATTACATTTTCCCTTATTTCCCCTCAAATCCTCCAACCAGTGCCTGATGTTTCATAATACATCCTGTATTTACAGTTTGTTTTCATTCCCCTGTTGCTGCCTGGACTCTCCTTGCAAACAATGGGGAGCAAAACTGATGTATCAGTGGTGGGAGCAGCTGAAGCTGGCTGTACAGAGCATGCTGTCATGCAGGCTTGGCAGACCCACTAACACAGAGACCCCGATTTCATTCTTCTGAATCACTTGCAAATGTAGCCAGGTCTTGGGGATTTATTTATTTTAGGCAAACCATAGCAACTTTGGGACAAGGGATGTGTGTGCATGGGTGTGTGTTTCTAAAGGTATCCTTTAAAACTGTCAGGCTGCAGTCGAGACCCCAGGGAAGAGAGCTGACAGGGCAGTGACTGATCCCTGCGGGAAGCATCAGGATTGGGAAGCAGCAGCTTTAATTTTGAGTGAAAACACTTGAATGGGTCTTGCCTCCGCTCCCATGAAGAGCTCTGGTGCCATACCCAAGCTTCACAGAGGCTCCAGAGCAGTGCTTCTCCCAGCAGCAAAGCAGCGCCCTGGGAGATTACTTCAGTCTCTTAAAAGGGGGGAAGTAGTTGTGTGGGTCAAGAGCAGGCTTCCTTATCACGTTGTGAGCTCCAGTGTTTTTGTGATTAGCAGCTACTAGTGCTTGATGTGGAGAGGTTAGTCTGTGCCGGTTCCTGCTCCTAGAAATGGTGTCTACTGTGATACCATAAAAGATGCACTTGCCCCACTGAAAATCAGAGCATGCCTTGGGGTGAAAGTGTTGATGCAGTCCTGTCTTCCTTTTCTCCTGAGTGTGGACCACACTTTTGTAGCCGCTGGCTGAGGACTACACAGCTGGGGCAGTTGCTCGTATTTCCGATTGTGAAACACCCATCGCTCACGGAGGGCACTGACAGCACAGGCAGGTTGCTAGATGCTTGCATGCAGTCAGCTGATCTCTCCCTTTTTTCCTTCCCACTGCAAGAGAAATGTGAGCAAGTTTGGTATCTGTGCTTTTGACAATTAGCATTGGAGTTGAATGAGAGCAACCCAGCAATATGTACAAAACAAACAGATTTTGTGTAGGAAGAGATTGTCATCTCTTGCGTAGGTTTCTTTTTTAGGAGGAAAAAATACAAACAAAAAACCCCTCACTCCGCCCTGGACATAGTTTACATTGTAAAAGTGGAAATAACTGAAGTGGAAGCTGGAACAGAATCCATGATGTGTTTCACGTTATTTTAAAACACTTGTTGGGAAGGGAGGTCTTAGTTTTTAGGCAGCAAAAGCTTAGCTTTACTATATCAGCTTTGGGTGTACTCCTTCAGGCAAAACACTTTTGAGATCAGGAGGGTTTTTTCTTGGAGTGGGGAGATCAGGATCTAATGAGTCATTCATAGCACAGCTTCATCAGGAGGGAGAACTTTGTTTAGTCTTTGTTTAGCTTTTCCAGCAGCGTTGAGCCGCCACAGCACTGAGAGAGATTAAAGGAAGAGGTGGGCTCTGTGCATTGGAAAATGAGGCATTCGCTGTACGTCACCTGGCTGGTATCTCAGCATCTGTGTGTTTCTGCCTGGCGCTTGATCCTGACTCTGATTGAACCGTCCTAGTTGCTCTCTGTCCCTGTGAGCTGACTCTGCAGTTCAGGACCCAGGGTGGGGGGGAGATTTCAGCACCTGCGTGGCTGCTGCGGTGCAGCGGGAGGACCTCTGGCCACATATGCCGTTGCTTGAGGGTAGCTGTCTGATGTGGCATCCATGAGATTGGAACCAGACTGCTGGGAGAGACAGCATGAGGCCGAAGGGCGCCTCGTTACTCTGCAGAGGAAGGAAGTGGGTAGGAGGCTGTTTTTGAGGGAGGCAACTGTGCAGAGTGTAGCCCATGCAGCTGCACGTGGTCCCACTCTCAGTGTGCCAGGTTGCAAAGAGGAGGAGAGCAGGACTGAGCATTGGGAAGGGACGGACATGGGGCTTCAGTCTGTTCTTCCTGTTGGGCCTTCACAATGTCATTTGGGGGGTCATTAAAAGATCAGTGTGCAGAAAGCATCTTTTGTAGTCAGATGTGTCTCTTCCTAGGGGTAACATTTCAAACCACCCCTATTATCCTTCTCCATAGGCCCCTTGGAGGGCTCTGGGCTCACTGTCCTTGTGTGGAGAAGGGGTCTGATCAGGAGACGTTTTGGGGCTCTCTTCATATTCTGTGTGGGCCATAGGGCAGCCTCTAGCATGGCAATTCCTGTAATGTCAGAGCACAGGAGCACAAAGAGCACGTAGATGCACAGGGTCACCAAGTGTATAGCTGATGCAGGTGTATAAAATCAGCAGGACTTAAGTGCCAAACCCTGGCTTATTCTAAAAGAGCCAGCCTTTCCCACGTGTGTCATTGGGCAGAACAGGTCTAATTGGCTGGCAGAAGTGGAAATAGTGTTTTATCGTTTGCCTGATAAGCATTGCCCGATAACATTTCCTCTTGCCTTGGCTGACCCGGTTGCTCTCAGCTGCAGCAAACAATGATGCTTCCAAGGGAGATGCATGTTTCCTGTAAAGCACAGGATCAAGGAAGCCTTTGTTTCGCTCTTGACTATGTTGCAGAGCCTTCTTTGCATATTTTTAATCAAGTCTTCCAGTCTCAGTTTCCCCCTTTCTGAAGTGACTGACAACAACGATGCTAAGGCATGGTCTTTGCAGGGCTGGGAGGCTGAGTTTTGACCCGTTCTGGCAAAGTGCTTTGAGATCCCTGTGTTGTGTGAGAGCAGAGTATCCCGAGGTGACTAATCTAGCAGAACTCTTACATCTTAATGCTGACTTCTATTTGGCAGACAGGGTCATTTTCAGGCCTATAGGAAAAATTTCCACTGTTACGGGAAAGGAATAAATCACACTGGAGAACATTCCTGCCTCCCCATCATCTCCATTGTTCTAGTTTAATGGCATAGTTGGCCACTACATAAACTAAGCCATCTCTTTTAATATTGCTATTTCATCTTGGTTCCAGTCACAGTGTAACACATTTCTTAAGTGCTTATAGTACATCATGCCTCTTGAGAATAACTTGCAGAAATGGTTGACTTCCAAGAACAGCCACATGTGTAATGCAGTGTATTTCAGACTCTGAGCACCGGTCCATTTATACTTGCAGGCTCTCTGCTTGCT